GTGATGAGTACAATAAGGCCCCAACGGAGGCGCAACGATATATCGTCGTTGGTATTTTTGACAAGTGCACCGAACGACGATATAATCGATCGATATATCGTTCGGTGCTAAAAGGGTTAACACTATGACGTCCGGCGACATCACAGTGGTGTCATACGCGAAGTGTTGCTCAACGGCCGGTGGCCTCACAGTGGTGCCATGCACAAAGCGTAGTTCTACGCCCGGTGACATGCAGTTAAAATACGGTCGGGCGTACGCAAAGTAATCCGAACTAGCACTTCCGGCGCTAATCGAAGAAATTTTTTCGAAACGCCCGGACATCAAAGTGTTAAGACTGTTGTTTTCGGACTACAGCGTGAAGAGTGTTACCTAATTTCTCGTGGCGATGGATTGCAATTAGTTTATAGATGTGTTTACTGTTTTATCTCGTCATATTTTTAATCGTTAAATAATTATCGTTGAACGTTGTATCTTTATGTTAATATAATAAATTTTTTTTTCTTATCCAAAATTTTTCTAATATTATTACTAAGTTTAATTCTTAGGGATGTTTTTTTTTGGACAGGTTTAAATTAGATGAACAATCTATTTATCCGTTGAACGTTTCGTCCCTATATTTAAGAATTCCTCAGCAACTCGATAATTATGTTCACAAGTCAATATAACATCATTTCTCATTACAGTCATACGTATTCACTATCTTATATATAGAGTCAATTTTAAACCGTTATCCTACCATAACTTTTCGAACACTTTTCGAACCTTTATTATACCACTTTTTCTTTAATAAATAAATTATGCATCTAACTAAATTTTGATCTTGTGCGAAGTGGTCTTAAATGCATTTTTATTTCGTTGTCCCGGATTCCTTTTATAAATTGATCGCGTAATCTTGCATTTTTTATTGTCAGTTTTATAAAAACATTTAGCATATATTTGTTCTAAATTGGCAGCATATTCTTCAATCGTTTCTTGTTCGAATTGAATTCGATTTGAAAAATGTTTTCTATAAATTTCCTTTTTATCAAAAATACAATCGAACACAAAATGATATTTCTCTGTTATCTTTTCGTATGAATGTTCAATTATGTTGTCATGGGGGAAACACTTTAAGATAAATGCATGAACATCATCGTCAAGAAATTTATTGAAGAATTGAAACATTTTATTATCTGGAACGCCAACAGTTTCCGTTACATACTCGAATTTATTTACCCACTCGTAAAAGTTATCGCTCGTTAATTTGTAAAGAGTTATCAATGAACAAGCTTGATTTTTATAATAAGATATTAGTAAATAATTGGATAATAATGATTCCTCATTTCTCATTATTTACTAACAAAAATAACTTCAAAAACAAAACTTTAATTATTCCTTATTGCAAAATTAAATATCAAGAAGTTTTTTCAAAATTCTTTGTTAGGATTTTTGAGATCATATTTTTCCCACATAAATGCATATACATAAATGCATATATGTTAAAGATTTCATTGTCGTCGTGAAGATTACATATAAAAGTTTAAAAAAAGTAAATAAAGTTAACAATAATGAGAATACAAAATTCAACTGATAGATTAACTTTCTAACAAATGCTGATCGACTAACTATTAAGACTTTATTGTTTTTAAGTAGAAACAAAAAGATGATTTCCAACGCCTTCTATTAGTTATTGGTGGAAATAATAATATAACTCACAATGAAAACTATAAACAAAATTAAACCAACTGTTACATAATCCTTTTGACTTTAATTTCTTTCATTTAAAAAATCCGAGAAGGGTTTCTTCTTCATCGGCCAGTCACTAAATAAATATTAAATAAAAATTATGTTTCACATATAGGGAACACTATCGAAATTATTGAAATTTCTTTTTTTTTTTTTCCCCCCCCTGTTTTTTTTTTTTTTTTTTTTTTTAATAAAAATTACCTTTTGTTCTCTCGTACTGTACAGACGTTTACTTTGAATAATAAAATATTATGTATACGATATAAATATATTTTCCTAAACGTATAACTTCCTGTACTACATCTTAAAACCTTTTCAATAACGTGCAGAATTACTGTTTACAAATAAGAGCATAGTTTATTCGTATGCTTCTTCTTCTTCTTCTTCTTTTAACTATGAACAACGTATTATTTGACTTATTATTTCTTGAACTCGTAGAAGCATTCATAATAATATATGATGTTCTTCGATTAATTAAAATATTGACGATTAAATATTACGCTTGGTTTTTTTATATTTCGTTTAGATATTTTATATGTTTTACAGTTTGTAATTGATTTCGATTATTTTATAGTCTTTGTATATATTTTTTTACTATTGTCATTTCAAAGGCCACATAAACTACACGAATGAATGTTAATTCATGTGATTGTTCTAATTTCCTTTTTATATCTTCGTCGCGGAGTCCACTTATGAAACGATCGCGTATTCTTGAATCTTTTCTGGTTATATATTCGCACTTCGAATATATTTTTTCTAAATTGGCAGCATATTTTTGAATCGGTTCTTGTTCAAATTGTTCTCGACATAGGAAACGTTCTCTGTAAGTATCCTTTACATTATCGAAATTATCGAACAAATAATGATATAACTTTATTATCTCTTCATATGAAAGTTGAGAGTAATTGATATTAGGGAAACATAATTGGACATGTATAAGAGTATCATTTTCCACCATATGATTAAAGAATTGAATCATCTTATCTCCTGGTACCTTAATAATATCTGTTACAAACTCAAATTTATTTAACCATAGATAAAATTTAGAACAACTTGCTTTGTAAATATCCATCATTGTACGAGCTTGATTAATATAATAAGATAATGGTTGATCATTGGATAATGATTCCTCGTTGCTCATTATTTATAGAAAAAAATAACTTCAAAAACAAAACTTTAATTATTCCTTATTGCAATTAATTATCAAGAAGTCTTTTCAAAATTCTTTGTTAGGACTTTTGTTTCACTTTTAGCGATAAACACAGTACACTTATTTCAATGTATTTTGTAATAATTTCTTGTTGATAAACTTCAATGTGTTTTACTTTTTTTATTATAATTTTTCCATATATTATTATGTTAAAAATCTCACTTTCGTTATAAAGATTATAAATTGTCTTCACAAACTATAGAGTTAACAAGAATAAAAATACTAAAGCTCAATTTATATCTTAACAGTGTAACGGATGCTGATCAACTATTTAAACTTTATTGTTTTCAAATAAGAGTGGAAAGATAAATATTTTCTGTTCCCTACATTATAATCCTTGTTAAAGATAATAATATATCTCATAATGAGAACTATAAACAGTCATTGAGATAATACAAATTTGAACGTATAATACAGTCAACAATAACATTATCTTTCTGATGATATGTTGTGGTTTTACAGAATTAAATAAATTTATTATATTATCTTGAGAAACGTGTGGTTTTTTGCAATTCTTTATTTTTTTAATCTGTATTTATTTTTGACTAATTGTAAATCTGGTTTTACTTTTTACATTTAAAAATTAATATAAGTGCTTTCTTATACGTCAATCTTTGTATAATTATTCTGAATAAACAATTGTTTTATCTAACAAAGAATAACAAATAACACCGATTATTATTTTTAAGACCAATTACTGCATATCCTAATCATTCTAGAAACGTTTAGTTTTTAGACTAATTTTTTTTTGTTTTTTAGCATTTCCATAGTACTAGAAACAATTTAAATTTAGAACAAATGTAATATATTCAACTTTTGTAGTAAGGTACTTGTGTTTGGTCTTTGTTATAAATAAAACCATTATTGATTATATACTTTTTATTTTTTCCTTAAATATTGTAATTTTTGTCTTAAGCAGTAAATATTTATTCTAAGATATTCCATGTAATGTTGCTGACATAATTGCATTAAACAATAAAATCTATATTTTAGGTAACTCATAATCAGATTTTTGTACTACTTATTCAGCTTTGAAAAAAGTTAATAGATATTTTATTTATATTCAATTTTTTCTTTTCTAAACATCAAGAACTAATTCTAAATGTAATATTCATCAGTTTCGAAGGGGAAAAGCGATAATAAGTTATGTTTAGAAATTTATGATTGTCATTTAAGTACGAGTAAACGATTACAGTGTCGTAATGAAAAATTAAAAATTACTATAACAAAAGTATAATGTTAAAATAATTGAAAATACAAATGTTCCTGACTGTCTGACAGATACGGAAAAATACTGTTCACATCTTTTTGTTTATATAATAATCCTAAGGATAGTTATTCTCTGTCTAATATAAATTTATGCAATAGTTTTCAGTATAATTGAAAATCATAAATAATTTTGTAGATTATTCCAAAAATTTAACTTTGAACAAAGTAAACAATAATCACTTTGCTTATCGTTCAATCAATTATGTCACTATTTAGTAAATTTAAATAAATCTTTAACTTTATCGTCCTATCTTAAACATATTTCTTTTTGCTTCAATAAATCAATAATTCATTACATTTTATGTATTTGTTTATTATCAATTATGCTTAGACTTATAACACTAAAATCACCTAATCAGAATTGTTCTTTAATTTAGTCAGTACACGTATGTATATGATATAACTATATATATATTTATTTGTTATTACAAAAAAATATTATTCTGATGAACCATTAAAATTATGCATGTTCGTCTGACATTAAAAAACTTTAATGTCAAGAACAAGTTTTTATGCTTACATTAGACAATCAAGATCATAATTATCAGTTTTCATATAAAATAAACTATTGTACTTATAAAATGATGTTTTGAGTATTTAATTATACGGTTGATAATACAACTTTTTAATAAATTTTTTTCTTTTAATCTAGACTTATATATTGGCTTAAACAAAGACAATATTTTTTAACATAATCAATAGATTAATTCACTCTACTTATTTCTAATATTTCTTGTTCTAACAGAATATGTCGTAATAATACAACATTCACTAATGATTTTTAAACAACATTTTTTCAAATCTCTTTTTGAGGACTACTTGTCTGCCTTTCGCGCTCTTCTTCCTTTTTTAATTCGTGAAGTAGATATAACCACTGATCTTCGAAAAGATTCGTCTTTGAAGACAGTCTTTTAAATTCTATTTTCATGGCTATTACCATTGCACTATAGATGGTTAAATTTGGTGTTTCTTGTAACTGTTTACATATTTCCTTATTTTGTAATCCATATATGAATCGAAACAATAAGTTCGATTTTGCACTAGGACCCTTGTCCAACTTACAATTTAACTTTTTTAAAGAGTAGTAGTAGTTTTCTATGGATTCTCCTTTCATCTGATCACGAAATGTAAAACGAGACATTAACGATTGAAATTTACTATAGGGTGAATATTCTTCATCTAATATAGTTACGAGCATTTCGTATGGAATACTGAAAGGGTCATCTGGTTTTACATGTGACTGTACATAGGTAAGAACTGAAGATTCCAGTACATTTAATAAGATATAACTTCTTCTATTATTTTCAATCTTAGACATATCCAACAATAGCTCTAAGACATCGAGCCATTTAATGAAGTGCTCTTTTTTAGGATCGAATTTTTTGAGACAACTCAGAACTCTTTCTAATATCTTCTCATTTGAATCCCATACACTTATTATTCCTGAAACAAAACAGTTTCTTCTTGTATTATTACGGTAATAGAAAATGTGCATAATATTCTTTGTAGAACTTTTTGTTTCCCTTAGACCAATTAACACTAAATACTTTTTGTAATGTAACTTAAGACGATATTTTTTTCTTAGAAAATCGATGTTCTATATTACTTGAAAGGTTATTTTAAAATAAAATGTGTATATACTAATGAAGGTTCTCAAAGTCCTAATGATGAATAAAAATGTGTAGAATAAAAGTATTATATATATAAGTTAACGAGAATAAAAATAAAAATTATACGAATGTTCCAAACGTTTAACGAACACTGAATGTTTGTATATATAAACTCAACAGTTTAATAACAGAAAGTTACAAAAAATAGACATTAAGAACTAAATATAAGTCCTCGTACGAAATATCAATATGATCAAATATTCTAAACAGTTTGTTGTTTATTCGAAATGTAAACATTTACTAGAGTTAACTGTTACAGATTTGGTTTTGTTTAATATTATTCTAACGATGTTATGCTTTTCTAAATTTAAAGAAATCTTTTACATTAGAATACTTTTACAAATATTGTTTGCGTCAATATACTCCACTAACTCATTACATATTTCCTATTTATTTATTATCAATGGTGCCTAGTCTTAAAAAATTAAAATTTCTTATTAAAAGTTAATTTCTAATTCAATCTGTACGTACATATATGTTATGATATAACTAACGTTTATTTTTTTTCAAAAAGCAATGTTATTTTGAAAAACCAATAACATTATAAATGTTCGTCTTACATTAGAGAAGTTTAATGTCAAGGACAAAGATTAATGCTTACATTAGACAATCAAGATTCTAAATTAAAATATTGTACTTGTAAAATAATGTTCTGAATATTTAATTATATTGTTAATAATACAACTTTTGAATAAATTTTCTTCTCTTAACTAAGACTTATATATTGGCTTAAACGAAAACAATATTTTTTAACATATTCAATATATTAACTCTACTTATTTCTAATACTTCTTGTTCTGACAGAATATGTGGTAATAATATAACAATCACTAATGATTTTTAAACAACATTTTCTCTCAAATCATATTTTTAAGCTTACCTGTTTTCCCTGCGCGTTCTTCTTCATTTCTTAATTCTTGAAGATTATGAAGCCACTCATCTTCGAAACAATACGTTAGTGAAGACTCCTCTATAAATTCCATTTTCATGGCTATTAGAAGTGCCTTATAGATGGTTATATTTGATAATTCTAATAAATCTTTACGTAATTTCTCATTTTGTAATCCATATATGAATCGAAACAGTAGACGTGATTTTGCTTCTGGACTATTGTCAAACTTATCAATTAATTTTTTTATTGTGCAGTAGTAGTTTTCAATAGATTCTCCTTTGAACTGATCACGAATTGTAAAACGATACATCGTCGATAGAAATTTACCATCGGGTGAATATTCTTCTTCTAATATAGTTACGAGCATTTCGTATGGAATACTGAAAAGGTCATCTGGTTTTACATGTGACCGTACATAGGTAAGAACTGAAGATTTCAGTATATTTAATAAGACATAACTTTTTCTATTATTTTTGATCTTAAGCATATTGAACGTTTCCTCCACGACATTGTGCCATTTAATGAAGTTCTCTTTTTTAGGATCGAATTTTTTGAGACAACTCAGAACTGTTTCTAATATCTTCCCATTTGAATCACATTCACTCATTATCCTTTAAACAAAACAGTTTTTTATTCTATTATTACGTAAATAAAAAACGTACATAATTTTATTTGTAGAATCTATTGTTTCTCTCCGAGTAATCAACATTAAACACTTAGGATGATATTTTTTTCTTAGAAAATCGATGTTTTATATTATTTAAAATTTTATTTCAAATTAAAATATTTAAATGTTAATGAAGGTTCTCAGTGTTGTAATGATGAATAAAAATTTGTACAATAGAAGAGTATTATATATATATATATATAAGTTAATAAGAATAAAAATAAAAATTATACGGATGTCCCAAACGTTTAACGAACACTGAACGTTTGTATATTTAAACTCAAGAATTTAATAACAGAAAGTTACAAAAGGTAGAGATTTAGAACCAAATATAAGTCCTTGTACAAAATATCAATATGATCAAACATTTTAAACAGTTTGTTTATTATTCGAAATGTAAACATTTACTAAAGGTAACTGTTACAACTTTCCTTTTGTTTAATATTATTCTAACGATGTTATTTTTGTCCAAATTCAAAGAAATCTTTTAAATTAGAATACTTCAACAAATATTGTTTGCGTCAATACTTCATTAACTCATTACATATTTCCTATTTGTTTATTATCAATGCTGCCTAGAATTATATAATTAAAATTTCCTAATCACACATAGTAGATTTTTAATCCAATCCATATGAATATGTATACCATACAATTATCGTTTATTTTTATTCAAAAAGCAATGTCATTCTGAAAAACCAATAACATTATAAATGTTCGTCTTAAATTAGAAAAGTTTATTGTCAAGAACAAATTTGTATGCCTTTGGTATTAATTTAGTATGATAGATAATAAAGATTATCAATTAAAATTTGCAACTTTTCCAATGACGTTCTGGATAATTATTTTTACCAATAATAATACATCTTTTATAGAAATTTTCTTCTTTTTACCAAGGCTAATACATTGACTTAAACGAAGACAATGTTTTACATATTTATTCTGCTTATTTTTAATACTTATATTATTCTAACAGAATACATTGTAATAATATGTCACCCATTGAAAGATTTTATAAAATTAATAAATTTTCAATAAATTTTCCACGAATGTCATCTATAATACTGCTTTCTCGATTTAAAATTCGTTCTTCTGTTTCTAATTCATTCAGTAGATTCATGTTCTTTTCTTTGGAAATTACATTACTCATAGAACTATCTACTAGTTTAGATTCTATATCCAAGGCCGTTATAACTGCATTATATAAGGTTAAATTTGGTACGGCACTTAACAGTTCACGAACTTCCAGACTTGTTATTCCAGTTATGAAACGATACAGTAAAATCTTGTTTGCATCAGGGCCACCATTGAACTTAATTAATCTTCTTATAGTTTGACAATAATTTTCTATAGATTCATCTGGGTACTGTTCTCTGAATACAAAACGACTGTTTGCCAAATGAAATTTTCCATAAGTTAAGTATTTTTCCTCTATCATATATATGATCATTTCGAATGGAACATTAAAAGGGCTGGCAGGTACTACATTTAACCAAATATAAGACAAAATCGGAATATCGATCATACGTAATAAAATATAAGTTTTTCTACAATTATCTTTTATATTAAGCGTATCCATCATATACTCCAAGAAATTAATCCATTTAGGAAGATCAGTTATTGAAGGGATTGTTAATTTGTTAATAGAATTTGAAATATATTGCATTATCGTATTGATTTCACTCTGCATTCTCAAAACAATAAATGCTCTTTTATTTTTGTTTATTACGTAAATAAAAAACTTATCTAACGTACTTTCTTTAATTTTTTTCTGTAACTTTCACCAATTTCACACTATATACACTTTTGGCAATGTATTTCAAAATAAATATCTTTTTTTACAATTGTCAAAATGTTTTATATTTTTTAATAGTTTATTTAAAATGTACGTGTAAGGTTTTCAGTATTGTAATGCAGAATATAAATTTTGTTACAATAAAAAAAAGTATATAATGTTAAAATAGAAATAGAAACAAAAAGTATACTGATATCTTAACAACCGTCTAACGGATATTGATAGATTTTATATTTAAACTCAACAGTTTAATAACAGATAGTATCAGGAGCTAGACATTAAGAACTAAACATAAATCCTCGTACAAAATATCAATATGATCAAATATTCTAAACAGTTTGTTGTTTATTCGAAATGTAAACATTTAATAAATTTAATTATTACAGATTTGGTTCTGTTTATTATTATTCTAACGATGTTATGCTTTTCTAAATTCAAAGAAATCTTTTACATTAGAATACTTTTACAAATATTGTTTGCGTCAATATACTCCACTAACTCATTACATATTTCCTATTTGTTTATTATCAATGCTGCCTAGACTTAAAAGAAAAAAAATTTTTCTTCTTCTCTTTCTAATTGTTTTAGCAGATTCTTTTCTTTGGAACTTAAATCTCTCTTGAACGGATTTATTCCAGATTCCATTTTCATGGCTGTTTGAACTGTATTATATACCGTTACATTTGGTAAGGCACGTAACATATCACAAATTTTCCGATTTTTTAATCCTTGTATGAAACGAGTCAATAACTTCAAATTTGTTTGAGGACCAAAAATAATTTGATCATTTAAATTTTTGATTGCGAAGAAGTAATTTATTGCTGATTCATCTGGGAACTGATCTCGAATTGAAAAACGATACTTTACCGAGCGATATCTCTTATGGCTTGAAAACTTTTCCTCTAATATAGACATGATCAATTCGTATGAAACATTGAAAGGGTTGATAGGTTGTACAGATGACTTAATATAGGAAAAAATTGAATAATCGATTAGATTTAATAAAAAAAAAGTTTTTCTATTATTATTTTTTATATTTAACTTATTCATCATATAGTCCATCTTATTTTGCCATTCTAGAAAATTTTCATTTGAAGGAACGAATTTGCCACTAAAACGAAGAAATTGTTTCAATTCTTTAGTTGTTTTACTCATTATTCCTGAAACAAAAAAAAGCTTTTTATTTTTGTTCATTTACGTAAATAGAAAACTCATCTAACGTTCTTTCATTCATTTCTTTCTTTAACTTACACCAATTACGCAACACTTAACACTTTTGATAATATAATTCAAAAAGATATCTTTTTGTAGAATTGATAATGTCTTTACTTTTTAACAGCTAATTTAAAATGTATCTATATGTAAAGGTTTTCAGTGTCGTAATGCAAAATACAAATTTTTACAATAAAAGTATATAAAGTCAATAAGAATAAACCGTATAACGAACACTGATCTATTCTATATTAAAATTCAGCAATTTAATAACAAAAGGTTTCAATATGTTGACATTAAGCATCAAACATAAGTCACAGTATATAATATATACATGATATATTAAATATTGTTTACTTCAACACTTCAATTACGTATTAGTTTATTATCCATCTGTATATGTAAATAGGCCAGTCGAAAAGACGCAAACTAGATCCTTTTCAGATGGAAGTTTAAAAATTTTGAAAAAAATTCAACGACGTTTAATCGAAACGTGCTAATTTTAATTAATTTTTTTAGTAT